AATTGCGAATTATATACTCATAAATTATGTTTAAGATTTTTTTAAATCCTTCTCTGTTTTTTTCCTTTTTCTGTTAAATTTTACAAATTTATTTGTTAAAGTATTTTATCTCTGAGCATTCATCGTACAAATATTGTTACAAGTGTACAGTTTGCTCATTGCAAATATTTATTTAAAACATTTTTCATATTTATTATAAAAGTACTAGTTATGTGCGTATTTAACATACAGTGAAGATAAATGACACAGAAATGTATATATAGTAATAATACTTCTCGTTGAATTCATCGTTTAGTAAATAAAAATCAATTCTTTTGAATAAGGCATGATTTGCACAAAAATAATAAGAAAATATAAAATGTGACACATTATTTATTATAATATAATAAAAAAACTTAAATTCATATTATTTTTTTTATTAAATTTACTACCAAAATTTAGCATTGCATTTAAATAACTTGAAATTAAAGTTAAATTCATATTTAGAATATTTTCAAAGTGGACCCACGTTGGAAAACACTGATCTAAAGCACTTGATGTACTCACAAAATACTTCTTGATAAATCAGAAAATTCAAGAATTTTTTCTAAGACTGTTTGAATAACTAAATTTTTTCTAAGACTGTTTTGTTAACTTTCCTACTAAAATTTAGCATTTCGTTTAAATTACTAAAAGTTAAATTCATATCGAGTCAATTTTTTAAAGTAGCCCCACGTTGAAAAACACTGGTATGAAGTGTTTGATATTCACAAAAAGCACTTATTGAATAAAATCTACCTAAAGCTGTTTGAATCCAATTTGTCTATTTTCTTAATAACACGAGCAAACAATTTTTAAAAAAACCTATATTTATAATATATAATATAACTTGGGAGTTCCGCAAGGGTTTATTTCAAAACCACTTCCATTTTTCAATAAAGTTAACCATTTTGAAATAATATATAAATTTATATTACCTATATAATAAAACTGATAAGTATCATTTTGAAGTAATAATTCATATTTAAATCAAGTTTTTACAAATTAAATTGACTTTTTGTGGTCTTTGAGCCTCATTTTGGAAAACACTGGTATGAAATAACTGTCAAGTATTTTTCACAAACATTTTCTTAAAAAATTAACAAAAAGCAGTATTTAAAAATGATGCATTAGACTATTTAATTTTAAATTTCTGAAAAAGTGTTTGCTTACAAATAAATTATTAAATTAGGTGTTCCTCAAGGATAGATTTTAGGACCTCGATTTTATTTTATTCTTATTATTATTCAAAATTCTTATATGATGTTTTATACATGACTATAGATGAATAAAAGCGAGAACAGGTAAATACAGTTTTAGATAAAAATAATTTCAATTAGCTTTGGCATAAAATAAAAAGTTTAAATGGTATTTAAACAAATTTTAAATTTCGTATCAAGTAGCTCTTTGTGGGTCTTAGTTTGCTCAAAAATTGTGTTTAATGTTTTCCAAGTTATTTTTATAACTAGTTACGTAAAATACCTTTTTTTACATTTATAACCTTATTTAGCCTCACTTTCGTGTCTAGAATTTTTATAAATCGTGTCCCCTTAAAGATCAAATTGACCTTCTGTGGGCCTTAAGCCTCACGTTGGAAAACATTGGTATAAAATATTTATCTAGTATTTTTCACAAAAATTTTCTTGATAAATGCAGATTCTTGAAGATGCAGTATTCAAAAATAATACATTAAACTATTTAATTTTAAATTCCAGTAAAAGTGTTCGCTTACAAATAAATTATAAAATTAGGTGTTCCTCACGGGTCGAT